TTTTTTGTCCTGATGTCAATGCTTCAATTATGAACGTTAACTAATTTATTGCTTTAGGAGTTTCTTTCTCGTCCAAACATTCTCAAGAGCAATAGTGAAAGTCTCCATTACGAATCCAATATGACTACGTTCAATTTCATATATCGCTTTCCATTCTATTTTTTAAAGATTTGGCATAGGTGTACTAATCATTTGCTTCATCTGCCGAACAAATTTTCATAATTACTTTTTTAAAGAACGGATATGTGGTTATAATTTGTACCACTCATAACTTTGCATGAATTTGGATATGTGGTTATAATTTGTACCACTCATAACTTTGCATGAATTTGGATATGTGGTTATAATTTGTACCACTCATAACTTTGCATGGATTTACTTAATTACTTATGCACCCATTAATCAATGGAAGCCCGACGTAATGCAACCAGGTTAAATAAAAGATGACGTTATTATTCTGATGGTCCGTACATACAAGGGTTGGTGGTATAAATCACCCCATACTTATAGCACTAAAGCAGAATTCCCCAAACTATTAACCTCTTCACTATACACCCCAATTTAATTTTATAGTTCCACATAATTATTTAAATCTTTGATTCCGACTACTAAACCGTTAATCGTGTTTTACGCGTTTAGACTAATCCGATTGTAAAACGTTGACCACACTTTAATAAGACCCTCTTAGTTAAGAAGAGGGTCTCAAATTAAACCATAAAATATCTCAAGTTGAACCTTAACGTGAGATTTTATTGAAAATCCAATGAACGACAATTAAAGAAAATTAAATTATTCATGGAAACAAAACACATTCGTTTCATAACGTTTGACATGTCATGACTCATGAGTGTCGAGAACATTAAGAAAAACACACCAAAAAATAATGCATAAGCTGACTCCTAAACCGCAACATCATTTCTTGTTTGTGTTCCTTGCGTAAGTTGTGTTGGCTGGGTGAGTGAGATTAATTACTTTTTATCATTTTTTCCTTAGTATCCTTTGTATATGAATTGAAAAGCATTTTAGAGATTAATTTATATTTAGTAACAAATTATTACCGATGTTATGCTTACGTGTCCATCAAAAAGTGAGTTTGGCCTTGAAAGTTCTGTGTCGACGTCGACGTCGTTATGCTATAAAACAATATATACGAACTCTTAATCGAGTTAATCGTTGTCATGTAAAATTAAGAAAAAAATAACAGGAAGATACAACATCATCATTCTCTATCAAAAAAAGATAATGTTATACTTATAAAACAAATTAGGAAACAAAACACAGAGAAAAAAAATTAATCACAACTTAAATTTTATTCAACATATATTTATTTACAAAACAACTTTAAAATTATTTTCTATAGTATTTGGTATATGTCTATTATGATGGTGATGTGCGAACTATTGAGGAACGGTGGATGGTTCTCGGAAACAATGGGAAAATATTTAATTAAGTATTATTGCTTAAGAGACTCATAACTTTAAGCATGTATTGTTGAATATTGCATCACATAAACCTATGAGTGTGCACTTAGAGTCGATGATCATTGATTATAGGCTTTGAAGCTAATTGAGAGAAGGAACGAATTCCTCTATGAACATGATTTAAACCTTGTTCTTTTTGCTTCTTTAAAAATTTCTAATAACAACTGAGAGGTTAGGTTCCTAAGATTTCTTATGTCAGCTTAGCACCGACAGTGGATAGTTCCTATATATATCCATAGCGCATCACACAAGTCTATATATACAACACTAGAGATCGTTTTCCATAAGATTAATTTTGTTTAGTCCCATTTGCGGTCACATTTAATTCCCTAAAAACGCGGGAGCTTATATCCCATTTGTTCTTTCCATTAACCTTAATTAGGACTTGGTGAAATTTATGACTATCTTACATTAGAGACCACCATATGCCACCATTGCTTAGGCTTAACTCATTATATAGACATCGATCAAGCTCTAGTGTTAGATACATTTTCTTTGTGGGATTAAGTAATACATTAACATTCCGTGTGCATTTGCAATCACTTAATACATCGTACGTTATATAGGTTCTTGATAAATGTTTCAGATTAGTTTATGGTTTTTTGTTTATAAAACTACATAAAATAAAACGTGGAAATAAAGTGATAATGACAAGAAATAAAAGTAAGAAAGGTGGTGGTGTGAGAATCAGATTCGATGTCAACTAATTGAAAGAGAGCACGCAGCTTTTCTTCACAATCATATTTTTGTTGAAAAGCTTACCCCATTTGCCATATACATTCACAAAGCATTCGAGATTTGATTTTTTTACAGACATTTATGATTAATTTAAGATAGAAGTTATACTTATCTTGTTCAAATGATGTTAATTCAGTATTTAATTCATGAACCTATTACGATGTGGATAAAGTATTTGATAAAGAGAGTACCTAAAACAAGAAATTATTTATTTATAATCAAGTTAGACAAATTTTAAACCATACAAATAACATAATTACGTACCCTTATATTAAAATATTATATATTGTTGTTGTATATATTCATGATAGTGAAAAAAATTTAGGATTTCAGGTATACAAATAATTAGATTTATACATGAAAAAATAGAAACTGATTTTTTGAGTCAAAAATGAATCTAACCATAAAAATTGTAACTACGTAAAATCGATCTAACTTTATTAACTACATAATAACACACACAAAATAAACATAAATTAGCAATAAGAACAGTCAACATAATATTTTTAACAATTTTTAAAACAACAATCCACGCGTAGCATGAATATTCAACATATATATATATATATATATATATATATATATATATATATATATATATATATATATGTGTATATATATTCAAAACTGATTTCAAACTAAAATCATGGCGAATCTCGCTCTACCTCATAGGATGTTCTGTACGAGTGTTGAACCCGACGACAATAGGAAAATCAACATCTATTTCGTCTTGAAATATTTGGGCACTGTGAAGGAGGATTTGAAGAAGCACGAGAAATAATGGTCACAGCTTTGTAATTTTCAGTTCCAGTATCTGCTTGAGCACAGTCATGAAGTAGCTTTTTCGGTCAAGTTTGCTCATTACATGCTATCATGCCACTTAGTGACGGCGAAAAAATTTAGGAGTTCTCGGCTGCTACGGGCCTATATTGTTCTAAAATTTCTGAGATTCTCAGAATTAGGACGAAGATAACACTACAAATTGGGATGGTTTGATCGGAGAGGATGTAAAGGAGATTGATGATACTTGGATAGGAATCCAAGAAGTTCGATGACCCTCAGAAAAAACTGCAGCTTTGTTGCTTGTTTAAACACATTTTTCATAGGCCTGTGGAGAAGTTTCATAAATGCCAGGCAATGTGGATTTTAGTTCTCCGTACCGTTAATATGAAGAGGAAGAAAAATGAGTTATGGTTTGTTGCTAATGGCTTCTTGTCGATGCTGTTCTATGTCCCAAGTAAAACCCCATATAATTCATTTATATATTTAATATACTACTCAATCACTTAGTCACTATGTATGCAATTATTGACAGAAATAAATCCAGAAAAATTTCTAAACTGCATGTTCAACTCGTTAGTGATGTCAAAAAATTCCTTGATTATCCGTGGGGAAGAGAAGCATTCTCACTGGCAATGAGAAGTATATGTGTGTGTTTAATATGTATTGATAACACAAAAATTTAGAGAGAAATTTCATTCAATATTATACTTTATAATTTATATACATAACAAAGAGGAGATAATATCACTTACACTTTTGAAATAAGACCTAAACAAAAGAACCACAGCACAATATCGTTCAAGACAACTTTGTTTTGTTAACATTGGTATCTTGTGTTTTTTTTTTGCATGTGTCACACCCAAAATAATGTTCTGGTATTGATTTCACTGGAGATACATATTTTGTATGTTTGGGATCCCGAATTGATTCCACCAAAAACGTGTGAATCAATGGACAACATTCCAAAACAGTGTTGGCCTTTGCATAAGCCACATAAAATGGCTGATTAGAGCATTCCTTAAAAACATTTAATCCATCTTTTATATATATATATTGTATTGTATTGTTTATCTTTTTTTTTTATGTAAATATTTTCTATTTTGTGTGTTTTGTGCTACACATATTCCCTTATTTTTAAGGTTTACGTGGATCCACAGTTGTAGTTAATGAGAATTGAAAAGTTTAAATAAAAAACTTACAACTGTTAGTTGTGTAATCATAAATATATATAAATTTTAGCATTCAATATAAATTTACAATGTAGCATCTTTAAAACATATGTGACATAAATTATACATTTATTTTTGAAAATGAATTTAAAATTTTATATATCTATACAATCGATGATATATATATATATAGAATATCATTATGGTTATTTTCAAAAAAATATTTACAAAAATAAATAAATAATTTCTCAACGAAATTTTTTTTAGTTTAGATTAGGACAGTAAAAATGTTTGGACCGGCCTTGTTCCTGAACCAGCTCAAATCGTAAATCATGATGTCACAATAAAGAAAAAAATAAATTTTGTAATCATTTAAGTTATACTACTAAATAATTTATTTTTGCGTTGAAAAATTGATTTTTCATTGGCTAAATCGGTTTCTAGGAAGATGAAAAATACTTCGCGAACTACATTGTGAATGTTTATGGTTCATCTTGAATGCTCAGACCAAATTTGGCCCATGTATTGAGTTTTTTTTTTTTTTTATCACTCAAAGCATTTAGTGAGTCATGAGTTTGTACCAAATTAAGTTTTAAGTCGCGGAAGATTTTCCAAAAACTAGCGTTGCAGTCGAGACAATAGCATAACATTTTCATGTGAATTAGTATCCAGATTTCATGGAGAAATCCGATAAACAAACGTATGAGTCTAAGAAGATATTCGTTTTATGTTTTTTAGAGAGGTAAACGAGCGAGCTCTACCATTGATCTCGATCAAAACATTTACTCTTTGTTTCTTTCATCGTATAAGGTTTTCTCATATATGTAATTAAAGACAACCTGTTAACTTGACCAGGCCTGTTTATACATTGGGCCTAATAAGCCCAAACTACAAAAAACCACCGATATATTCCACGTTGGATACATGACCACGTGGACTCTCATTACTGGATGTAATCTCCACCACGCGCGATCACCATTTTCATTTCCAATTTATTTCAAAAAAAGATAATCCATGAAATTTAAAAAAATAAAAATAAAATAAAAATCTCTATCTTCTTCGTCTCTTCTCATCCTCCTCTCAAGAACCTCCTCCAATGGCGAGAGTTCTAGTCTCGTCTCCATCATCGTTCTTCGGTTCACCGTTGATTAAACCATCGTCGTCTCTCCGTCACAGTGGAGGAGGAGCTCAATTTCTACCTTACCGGAGTAATAATAACAAGCTTTTCACTACTTCAACCACCGTACGATTCAGCTTAAACGAGATTCCTCCTTTCCATGGATTGGATTCATCGGTAGACATCGGAGCGATTCTCACTAGAGCTGAGTCTCTTCTCTATACAATAGCTGACGCCGCCGTTGTTGGTGCTGATTCCGTCGTTTCTACTGATTCCTCCGCCGTGCAGAAGAGTGGTGGTTGGTTTGGTTTTATCTCCGATGGTATGGAATTGGTTCTTAAGGTGAGTTTTAAGCTGCTGATTCATGATCTCTATATGTTTCTGGAAATTGTCTTTGTAGATTTAAGTTTTTGTTTGGATTTTAGATTTTGAAGGATGGATTATCGGCGGTTCATGTACCGTATGCTTATGGATTTGCGATTATCTTGCTTACGATTATCGTCAAAGCAGCGACTTATCCTTTGACTAAGCAACAGGTTAGTGAGTGTGTATAGTTGAATTTTGCAGCTATTCTTGTCATTTTGATTCAATTTTGGCATGTTCAATGAGAATTTGCGAGCATTGATTTTGTTTTGGAATCCTTTAGGTTGAATCGACACTAGCGATGCAAAATCTTCAACCGAAAATCAAAGCGATTCAACAACGTTACGCAGGGAATCAGGTGATCATTTTGGCTAGAGAATGAGTTAATCTTGATGTTTGAGATTTGAGACTGACTAGTTTGATCTGTTTTTCGATGTATAGGAGAGAATACAACTAGAGACATCGCGCTTGTATAAACAAGCTGGTGTAAATCCGTTGGCAGGTACTTTTTCTAGAAGTTATGAGTTTTGTATTCCAATTTTTGTTTCCTCAATTGTGCTGATATGTGCACATTCTTGTTATATTTGATGTTAGGTTGCTTACCAACTTTAGCTACCATACCAGTTTGGATTGGTTTATACCAAGCTCTCTCCAACGTGGCCAACGAGGTACATATACCTTATGTCTCTTTCAACTACTGATTTCGATTGTGACCAGATAAGTATGTTGTTAGGTTTGTTGGTATGCTTTTTGTTAATATTCTAATTGTGCTTAAAACTTTTTTTTTCGGTAGGGATTGTTGACAGAAGGTTTCTTTTGGATTCCCTCTCTGGGTGGACCAACAACTATAGCTGCTCGGCAGAGTGGATCCGGCATATCGTGGCTTTTTCCGTTTGTGGTAATGGAAGAAAAAAACTTTAACTTAAGTAAATACATTTTTTCATGTGATACTTATCTTATACTAAACTCTATTTTTCATGCAACTGAAACTTTGCTGTGCAATGAACCTTTATCATATTGGTGTCTGTTCGGTGGTGCAGGACGGGCATCCACCATTGGGATGGTATGACACTGCAGCTTATCTTGTTCTACCTGTTCTCCTTATTGCCTCCCAGTATGTGTCAATGGAGATTATGAAGCCTCCTCAAGTGAGAAATTACACAAGCTTCTTTTATTTTTCCTATAAATAAAACACTTTGATGTGATTGTTCTGAAGCCGAATTTCATTTCTTTTGTCAGACAGATGATCCTGCCCAGAAGAATACGCTTCTTGTTTTCAAGTTTCTTCCACTCATGATCGGATACTTTGCATTATCTGTCCCATCAGGATTATCTATCTACTGGTTGGTTTCCCTCACCTTGAAACTTTCATCTAACTGGTTTATTCATGCACTTGATCTACACGTACAAATGGACTTTAAGACAGATTTTCTCTACTAATTAACCTAGATGGCGTCATTCTCAAAATGTATGTAAGACGGGTTAGAATTTCCAGGAATACGAAAGATAAGGAATCATCTAGTGTGACTACATTATGCGACAACAATATTATTGTATATGACTGTGTTTATTGGTAGGATCTGAGTATTTTCTTTCCTTTGATATTATGCTGCTGCTTATGTTAAACCATCCCATGGTTTTAGGTTCACAAATAATGTACTTAGTACCGCCCAACAAGTATATCTGCGTAAACTAGGTGGTGCAAAGCCCAATATGGACGAAAACGCAAGCAAAATAATAAGTGCGGGACGGGCAAAGAGATCTATTGCTCAGCCTGACGATGCTGGCGAAAGGTAAGTGAATCCCGATTCTAGTGGAGATTTTTATCTCTCAACATCAAGAGTTTTTCTTACAAGTTTGTTAATTTTCCTATAAATGTATATTGAATTACAACAGATTTAGACAATTAAAAGAGCAAGAGAAGCGCAGCAAGAAGAACAAGGCTGTTGCGAAAGATACGGTTGAATTATTAGAAGAATCTCAGTCTGAATCAGAAGAAGGGTCTGATGATGAGGAAGAAGAGGCTCGCGAAGGAGCGTTAGCTTCGAGCACAACAAGCAAGCCGCTTCCTGACGTTGGGCAACGAAGAAGCAAAAGATCAAAGCGGAAACGCACTGTATAGAACCAATATTGCAAGTAAGGAAGAGAAAAGAAAGAGAGATTTGAATCCTGTTCTTTAGTTTGATCTTTTGATATATTTGAATACACCAAGTCCAGTAATTATCTAAATTTAGGGCAAAAGAAGGTCATTCTAAAGTTAAAATCAGTAGTTGATCAAAGTAAATTTGATTATGTGATTCATCTTATTATAAATGTACTAACGTAAATGTGTGTACTATTAAGATTTTCAACATGTCCGCTTCAATTTTGTTAGCCTTTCGTTGTAAACTTGCAATCTATTGTTTGTGAATTTTGTTAGGTGTTTTTTTTAATGCTTAATCGGCTTATAGAAATGGTAAACGTGAATGAAGTAGTATAGTAATTTGTGCAATAAACTGGACAAACGAGTACTCACAAAGAAGCATTGCTTCTTTGGGGATTGGACATGGATAGAATAGAGATTAGAGAGAGGTAAAATTATTAAGTTTAGGATTGGGCTAAGGAGGCCCAAGAAAATGAGAAATGGTTGCACGATTTTCAAATTCTCGAAGTTGTACAAGCAGACAAAAGACTTCTTGTTTTCTCGTGTTGTCGTTTGGTGTTTGTCGTTTTGATGTATTTGTCAAAGAACCCTGTTATTAATCTGAACGAATATAACTTGTCAGTGTAGCCTCATTAATATTCAGAGAAACTTGTCATGTTGATACAATCATTAGTCACATACTCACATAGCATGTAATAGTATACATTTCAATAGGTTTAGAAGTTTAGAGAACTTAATAGAACTGAATCAATCGGTTCATCTAAAATGTTTGCATTGTGTTTTACTCATTATAACTTGAAAACATGACATATGTGAAGTTTTGAACGTTTACTATGTATACTTCTTCATAAAAATTCTTATGGTGTCTAAATGCTTAGTATTCTAGAAAATGCAAAACTGTTGGAAACAGCTAAATATTAATATATCTGCCTAATATTTTCAGAAAATGTTATTTTTCATCCATCCGAAATAGTGCAATTTACCAAAAACAAACATTAGGATTAATTTACCAATGAAGGAAACAAAGCTTCGTTAGTCACAAACCAGTTGCCATCATTTTATTCTTTAAAGAGCTTTCAAGCTTTTTGACTCATAGAATCCAATATTCATCTCTTATAAACTGACATTAAAGCCCTTCACCTCCTTAAACCCACATGCTAAAATCATTGCCTAACCACCCAAAACATCCAAAGGGTATTTTCGTCACTCCATAAATATTGATGCATATCAAAATATACTTTAGCTTATATATATACACACACGTCGCATTGTCACATCTTTCACACCAAAAGCTACACACAATGGCTAAAACCTCTCTTCCTCTCGCCGCCTCCTTCCTTCTCCTCATCTCCTTCTCCTCCGCCGTAGACACCAGCCATCTCTTCCTCACCGTCGTCAACAACTGTCCCTTCACCGTCTGGCCAGCCATTCAACCCAACGCTGGCCACCCCGTCCTAGAGAAAGGTGGTTTCGCTCTCCCAAAGTACACTCACCGCTCCTTCAACGCTCCAACCACACACTGGTCCGGTCGCATCTGGGCCAGAACCGGCTGTGCCCACTACAACGGCAAATTCTCCTGCATTACCGGAGACTGCGGAAACCGCCTCGAATGCAACGGTCTTGGCGGGGCACCACCAGCTTCTCTAGCTCAATTCGATCTCCACCACGGTGGTCACCATGACTTCTCCTCTTACGGCGTCTCTCTCGTCGACGGTTACAACGTTCCAATGACTGTGACTCCTCACGAAGGCCATGGTGTCTGTCCCGTTGTAGGTTGTCGTGAAGATCTTATAAAAACGTGTCCGGCTCATCTTCAGGTCCGGTCACACAGTGGACACGTGGTGGCTTGTAAGAGTGGGTGTGAGGCTTTCCATACAGACGAGCTGTGTTGTCGAGGTCATTACAATAGTCCTAACACGTGTAAAGCTTCGAGCCATTCGTTGTTCTTTAAGCATGCGTGTCCTTCGAGTTTCACATTTGCTCATGATAGTCCTTCGCTTATGCATGACTGTTCTTCTCCTAGAGAGCTCAAAGTCATCTTCTGCCACTAATGTTTCGGCTATGTTGTAGGGTTATTATCGTAACATCGGACTGATCTTCTCATGACTTTGTTTGGTTTAGTCTGGTTTGGATTGGTTAAGTTTGCGATTTCCGGTTCTGTTATGTAGTCCAACTATGAAATTATGTATTATTCTTGAAAGTTGAAACTGCTTTCTGTTTAATTCTCTTTTTATTTCGATTCTATAATGCTTAAACATTGATAGATAAGTTAAAATTAGAATGGTAACAATTTTAAAAGTTTTGGTTCTAGAATATATTTTAACCATTGTGCAAGAATGATTTGTTGAGTATCGATATTCAAAATTTTTACTCGGTATTAAAAAAAGGTACATGGTTTTATTCGAGGCATGCAGGCTAATGCAGTGTCTTGTTCTTTCACCATTTTATTTTGTATTTGTCGGTAAGATATTTTATTTCACGAGTTTCCACATTTTTTAAATAAATACTACTATTATTAATGTAAATAAAAAAGTTCTCACCCCTTGTATAATTTGTAAACCACTAATCAAGTAGTATTTCGGTTGTAAATAAATTAAACTTAAGAAAACAAAAACTAGAAAAAAAAAAACAGAAATCTGAATTGTACATCATTATCACAAGACTACTTTTGGCATGAAATGAAACAAACTCAATTCGAAAAAAGCTGCATTCTCACGTGAAAGATTCTCATTTCTTTGGTGTGTGTGTGAGAGATTTAACACTTCTTTTATAAAAGTTGGATATCCTGAGATAAATCCAAACTAATTATCTCAAAAATAATTGTTTAAAGTTTTGGTGAGTCACCAAGATTATTTATCTAACTAGTCTCCATAATCAAACTATCTAAATTGCACCCATTATTATTAAGAAAAAATCTAATAAATTACATTTATATTTGTTTTTACGTTGGCAAGATAATAAAAGTACTCCCTCCGTTCCTTGAAGTTTGATGTTCTAGTGTTTTGAGTTTGTTTCACAAAGATTGATTTTCTAGATTTCTTTTTATTTTTAATTAATTGATTTTAGTAAATCGTAGATTTCAAGGCGTAATGATTAACTGTTTCAGATTACTATTGGTTCATAGTTTATTAAAAAATATTTAATAAAAGTAAATAATTAAACAATGATTGTTTCTTAAGAAATGTGAAATCTCTAGAAAATCAATCTTCTAGGAACAGAGGGAGTATTTATTCTGGAGCATTTTGATTTTTTGAGTACACTCACTCACTCAGTATAGTAATTAATTAAATAACCAAAAAAAGGAAGCTTTATTGATTATGTGAAGTTCACTTTCGGTATTAAAGTATGAATTGGGCTCCCGATTTCGTGTTGGTGTGGTTATTTATGGCCAAAGAATTGTGTGGGCTTGAAAAAAAGATGATTTGTGTCAGCTTGGGCTATGAAATCTGTGGATAAGACCAAGACATAAAGAGAAATGCGTGAGCAGTGACATTTCTCGTTTAATATGATGAGTATCCGTTGCAAGAGAAAATATTAGATAGCTAAGAGCACCATTATCAATAGATTTTTAAGACAACTCTTAACTAAGAAATATGTCTTATAACTAACAAAAGTCTCTTAGATTCTTAAGAGTTGTCTTAAGAGTCTATTAATAATGGTGGTCTAACACAGCAGATATTCAAAAGTTTTAGGGGTTCTCATATCTCTATGTCTTCTTCAAATATTTTTTTGTAGATACTGTTCAAGGATACTTAAAATCAAGAAGCACTACTAGAGTATCCAATTTAAATGAACAAAGAAATGATACGAATCGAAAGATAAACGAGAAGACAAGGAGGTAGGGTGTAATAGAGAATTCGTATTATTTACTAGCCATGTTCATTTTGGGATGGAAGACCCGTTTCCATCCCCAAATTATGTACTTTGGGGGGGAATGGAAAATTACAATTACATGTTCGGAGAATTACATTAAAATGTGTAAGAGAAAGGGTCAAGAATGGGTTTGGGAATACCCTAAATTCCCATTTGAGTACTTGATATGCTACAAAAAAAAAAAAGTCAAATTCCATTGGGCTCAAATATTTGGATATGGTCCAATAATTAGGTCTGGACAAATAAACCGAACCGAATGTACCGAACCGAACCGGAACCGGAACCGGAACCGAACCGAAATTTCAAAATATCCGAATGGATACTAAATTTTGAAACCGAAAGAACTGAAACCGAATGGATCCAACCGATAAACGAACGGTTAACCGAAATGGATCAAGTTTTCACAACTTCAACTTCTCACAGACTCCTACATTATTTATATCTCTCTTTCTCTCACAGTGTACACGACATATCAAAAACAAAAGAAAAATATCAAACACCAGCTAGATCCTTTCCCAAAATCGCAAAGAAACAAAACAGAGAATCGAGTTCTCCTTTTCAATCTTGGTCGGGTTCGAATTTCCCTCTTAACTCAAGGTACATCCAAAACTTGAGAAATCTGATGGTGAATCTAGATTATTGAGCTTGTGTGTACTAGTGTTGTTTGGCACGAAGTGGTGGTGTTAGCAGTTCAGCTACAAGTCCTAACATTGTAATATTGTTATTTTTGGTATGTACCCGAATTTCCGGAACCCTTACTCAAACTCTTTCCCGTGACCCTTACCCGATTTAGTGAGAGTTTGGGAATGTTTTGGGAAGTAAGTTTTGAGTTCCGAATTCTCATACCGAACCCGATACCCGAATTATATGTCCCGTCATTTTATGGAAATCCCTCGGTTAATATATTTTAACTTTGAAACTATCCGTCTTCGATCTATACCCATAATTTTCCGTCCCGTTTCCCATTGTAGACATGCCAACGGAGTATTTTTATCGCAGTTTTTAACGCTTATTAAATGATAGGTTTAGAATTGTATTTACTCATTCACAGATTTGGTAAAAAGAAAACTCTAACAAAGACAATTACTCAATTAGCTCTATTTGTTCTACTAAAAAGAGAAATCATAACTTTTCTTTGTCACAAGTTGCATGCAGAGAAAAAGCATGAATTAGCTTTCCAATATGGGGCATCGATTTATTTCCTCGTTTCTCATTTAAATGTGCATATATTTAGGTAGCTGTTCTCCATTTAGGAATTTTTTTGTTTTGTTTCGCACACAACTGGTCTAATTGCTTCTTTTGGTGTAATCCAATTGAGAGTTTCTAGTCAAATTGCATAACAAAGTACAGCTTTACA